TCTCTCTCTCTCTCTCTCTTTCTTTCTCTGCTCGACTCGCACTCTCTTCGACTTCCAGCGTAATATAAATAGGCCCCGGAGATCGCCATCCGAGCCCCCTTTTCTCTATACGGAACGCGACCCGGCACGCCGCGGAGACAGGCTGACACGGCTTCTCGATCCGGGCTATCGCCGTATAATGCATAGCTTACCGCGTTATAATGGGAGCTTACGCACAATAGTCATGTACCACGCTCTCCCATAAGGCTCTCGACCATGGGCGCCGCTACGCCCATTTTTTTTCGCGTGGAGCAACACGGACGTGGAGCTCTTTTCTGGGAACCTGTTAGTGTATTCCAGACCGGTTCTTTTTTTCGTCTTTGCTCATTCAAAACATTCCACTTCGGAATGTTCTAAGAAACATTTATAAGGCTTAAGAGATTATAATATTTACGCATATCTAGTTGGCCATTATAGCAATTGTAACACGAGTATATGTATATCGATTTCTTATTGTGTCTTATAATATATATGCAAATGACGTAATCGTCACACTTTCTCCAAATTTGCATAGATACCGGTTAATAATGTATGTTAGGTAACTTTGTTCAACCTCTATCCCCCAAATATCCCAAACGCAAACGTTATTACTGGACATCGGATTCTTATGAAATTTCATATTTTTTTAGAAAGCGGATTGGAAAGTAATATCAAAATAGAAATTTGTCTTATTGGAAAAGCATTTTAAAAATGCATATTTATTTATGCATATTGTGCGTATTTACATATTTGTGCAAATTTGCATATTTTGTACATGTCTGCATAAATATCTGTACTAAAAATCTTGTCCAGTTATTACATAATGATAACTTGCTTCTACATTCTTGATAAATAAACCCGTCACTTTAAAACCTTCTAATATCTTCTGTTGATACGCGTAGTTTACCCAGGTTCAACATCGATGGACAATTTATCGCCGTAAAGTATGCTTACACGTTGACTTGCTTTTTTTTTAATTACACGTAACGTATTTATCACGCTGACAGTGATTTATTTCTCGTTAGAGAATTATTAACAGTCCCTTGATGTACTTTTTAGTATAAAAACTGTTGCGCGCGGAGTCATTTTCGTGTATCCAAGAGACACGATGCGACGTACGGATGACCCAGATATATTTTTAAAACGATAGAGGATGATCCCCCTTGACTAGTAGCTAGATTATCTCTGGCGACAGGACGCGACGCGCGGTGCATCAAGCGCAACGTTGACATCGTCGCGCAAGATAGCTCCGTGCCCGAGATGTCGTCTTCCCTAACGGGAATATAAAGAAATGCTCTCTCGGCGCATCTTATAAATTTATAATTGGCTTTGGGTGAAGTTCGCGTCGGTAAAGCTAAGGCTGAAATAAAGAGAAATGAGAGCGGAAGCAAAGAGTCCGGTTTTGAAATTAAGCAAAACTCGGCGAATCGCAAGCTCCAGCGGCTTAATTATCCAAGTTAGGACATGTTGCGGATGAAAAACATATAAAACAGAGAGTTTGTACTTCACAAAGATGTGTATATATGTATACGTATTATATACGGAAAATGTTTCAATTTGAATTGAAGTTTTACTTTTTCGCTTCCCCAAAT